ATTTGACCTCAAGAGGCTGATCATGTTAAAAAGAAAACTCCCAAGAATCCTCAGCGCAGAACTACCTGTATAGTCTGGTGAAGAAAATCTCTTTTAAATTTAACAACCTGTTTCCTTGTAATAATTATAAAGGGTCAAATATGACTAATATACTGTAAGTTAGCCCATTATCTAGAACCATAGTAGGGTTTCTGTATGATGCAATTTATTTTTTCTGACAAATAGTCAATGTAACAGATTTGCAACAGCGTTTCAAGTAATTCTGGACACAGGTGAGGTCAGTTATTGGTCTATAACTACACAAGGATGTAGGATCAAGGTTAGATTTTTATTACAGACCTTCCCAATATCCTTGCTACATAGCCAGTATATGAGAGTAATTTGATTTAATATGGATAATGAAGTCTTAAACATTCTCAAAACTGTCTGTGCAGTATTTGGCCCTCGACCCTTATCCACCTTCTTAGTGCAGTCTGCATTAATACAACTGGGACAAGAAATGATTGACCCGGCCTGAACACAGCAACATAACAACATCAAGTAATTTTCATTTTCTGTCAATTCCACATTATTGACTGTGATTATACACACACACACACGCACAACTGGTTCTTTTCAGCACAGACACTGTCACAATCAATAAACAGACGTTGTTACTTTTAGTTTCCCTTATTCACAGCAGTTTTCTGGAGAGGATGGTGGCAGGCCCACCCTCAGGCTCTGACATAATTCTCTCTGCAGTGTCCCAGGTTTCTTTCTGGGCTCTGACAGTCAGTGTTTACGCATACACACACATACACGTGTGTGTATGTATGCGTGTGTGTGTATGTGATGCTGTGTGTGAGGTTGATTGCCTGCAGGCAGACAGTGTGTGGGGAGCAGGAAGAAGAAGACAGATCCGATCCATCTGCCTGGCTGCGATGGAGCCACATCTGCATATGTTTGTTTGTTCATTCTGCGGGAGCATTCCCATGGGGGCGCTGATCAACAGTGCCTGCCAGTCAGATAAAGACATGCGGGGAGGAGAAGGAAGCGAAGAAAAACACACACAATAACATTACTGAGTCAGTGCTGAGAGGATAAGATATAAACATCTCAGCAACAGATGGTCGGGTGAAATGAGCTGTTGCGTCTTTATGATTTTAGCTCTGGTTAAAATTTACAAAAACAACCGTGGTACAAAGAACGTCACAGTTTTTCATTATAAAAGGTTCATGTTTCTTTAAAGTTGGTTGAATGAGCCTGTTGCCTCTGAACTTGACGCTATTTGAATAGTTTATGACCTTTGATTTCACCATAACAGTTTTTACCAAGCAGAAAATTAGTTTTTAAAATAATTCACTTCCCCCCCCCTTTTCTAGAGAAAATCAGTTCAAAGGCTGTGTTCCTTTGACACTCTACTGTTTAATATTTAGTAAATCTGTGTCACCGAGTTAGACTCCAGAAGTACATACCGTAACTCCAAAATAATAATAAAAAAAACACTTTCAATAATAGAAGCAGCAGTGGGACAACTCCTGCAAGCTTAAAGCTAAGGGGTTTTAAAAAGTCACTTTCTAGATTGACAAGTATGTATATAGGTAAATATATTATTTATATATTTTAAAGTAGCAATTTGTTGACTAAACAAATGTATGAGACATTACTAATATGACTGTGATTTAGAACAACAAGTGGCATTATTGGATGAACAGTTGTATGAGACATTACCAATATGACTGTGATTTAGACCAACAAGTGGCATTATTGGATGAACAGTGACATTGGCTGCCGGGGGAGGAACACAATTCTTGTAGTAACACGTTATTTTGCCTTTATTTTACCAATAATTTCACAGCATCAGCAACAACAGTGGCAGCACTGATGGTTGGAAAGTTCTTTTGTGTCTGTGCAAGTTATTAGTAAAGCCACTCCTTATGAAGTTTTAATCTTAAATGCTTTACGCTCTTCTCTTATTTTTATTAGCTAAATCCTAAAAAATTGAGTCCCATGTTCGTCGCACAATGTGGAGATTTACAGTGTGAGTCTTTACACCCAACACTTGCTGCCACGGGAGAGGCTCCTACGTACGTGGTCGTAACTCACAGGCTGCCACACAGGAGGCGCCATAGAACAAAATAAAGTTTCCCTGACAGGGAATCGAACCCAGGGCGCAGTGGTGAGATCGCTGAATACTACCCACTAGACCACCAGGGGGCTGCTCCAAACTGAACTGTACTAAATTGCAGAAATGTTTTTTAGTAGTGTGATATCGCAGCCTGAACTATGTCAAGGCTATGTTTTCTGTCTTTTCCTACTGCTTTCCTCCACTACCTCACTCTGTGTATGATGAAATTACAATAAAAAATAATTAGATGAAAATAATGAGAGAAAAAGAGAACGACTTATACTACAGCTCTCAGAAAGGAATCTTCATCACCTTTTTGTTTGCAACCACATCATCATTATCCAGTGTCACTGAGCAACGACCCGTTAACTAACAAATTTACGTTAAATTGTCCACCCCTAATTTTATTTTTATTTAAACAATTATTGAAAACAGTCGGATCAGTAGTCGGTTCATCTTGACCTTTCTGTCTAGAGGGTCAATATGAACAAGTGGTCATTATAAATCTTTTTTTTTTTTTACCAAAAATATCAGCTGTGAGGACCAGGCAATTATGATCGACCATATGTGTAGTGTATGGGGAAAAAAATCCCTGCTATTTCAAGCCTACTAGCTTTTTGTTTTTTATTCAAGGGCCATTCACTTGCATGAAGACACCAGAGGATTTGTACTCGTGCAAAGGGATTAAATTTTGTGCAGCGTATTAAAAATAAATCCCTTCTTGTTTCTATGTTACGTGATTACATTTACCCAGTAAGGCTGAGCAGTTTTTCTTTCATAACATCAAGCTAACGAGGATTGAACCCTTGGAGGAGAACTGACTCTTAACAACATCAAATGTGACCCTTTAGATGATGATTATGTCAGACATGAGGGACAACAGCAATAATATCTGGCTACGAAGTGCAGGCGGATGAAGATTAGATGACAAGACATTTATAAACAGTTTTAAGTAGACATATTAATCCCTGTATATCACTTTAATCAACTCAGGAGACCTTGGCAACGCAACTAAGGATTTACCGTAACTGTGCTTGGAGTAACATCGTCTACATATAAATGAGAGGCCTTCTATATTGAGATTAGGTTGGGTTTATGTGGCTTTAACATCTAAGGTCCAGTGGGACCATAACGTAAATATACAACCTTTAAAAAAGGGGGAAACTATTTAGAAGTCTCAACCTATTCATTCTGTGATTATCTGAAATCACTGAATTGCTACCTCAATAGGTAGCTACTGGGTGTCGATTATCGGGTGTACTAACATCTAGTCCTAGTACGCATACATACAGTCAGGACAAATTAATGAAGAATAGAGATGTCTGATGTTAATGTTTTGCCAATATCGGATATTGTCCGAACACTTTCCAGTTGCGATATCAACTGATACAGTTATAGCGTTGCAGTGATCGCCTAGTGGTTGGGAAGGTTAATTGTGCCTTCTCACTAAGGTGATGGGTTAAAGCAGTGTTTTTCAATTATTTTCTGCCTTGCCCCACCTAGGGGACAGAAGTGTTTTCACCCCCTCCACTACCCAAATTGAAATACTATTGAGTATTATTATTTATTTATCTGTACAAACTATTGTATAAGATGCTGGCACCAGTGTTCTGCATACAATCAACTAATTATTAAATGCTGCCATCTAGTGGCTTTCACTTTCATATACAGCTGTTTTTCCCCAAAGGGCACATAATTCGGCAAAAGCCAGGCATTGCGGTATAAAAAACGATAACGATTCTTACAAATATTATATAATTATGCTAATATCGGGCTGAATATCTCTGTGTTGGTTAGTGTCGCATGCTTACCTTTTAAAATGAGGGCTTAAAAAAGCCAGAGGAAGTTTCATCAAGTTTTTATTAAATAATTGGTTTATAATGCCAGCTTAAAAATAATCTCATTGTTTGAGGAATTTTCAAGCTGCTGTTGGATCTGACGTCCAGCTCCTCTTCTTTATCAGCTGTCATCCAGATGGCACCCATCGGTCATAAACTGGATTTGATTGGTAGGGGATTTCATCGGTTCTTATTGCCCCACATTCAGCCTGGAATAATTGCATTTTGTATTCAGACGCTGCTCCGACGGATGGATCAGGCTGATGTTTATTAAAGCTTTAATGGAGCTTCATATTTCTGGCGGTCCTCGTTTTTAAAGCCACTACGGCTAAGATTAAAATAACCAAGGCTGGTTGTTTAGTTTGGGTAAACTGTCAGGTCACGAAGGTCAGCTGCTGATTTCAGACGTCTAAAAATGGGCCATCCTTCTGGCGAAATCATAAACCGCAAGTGCTTAAGGATTCACTTGACATTGTATTTATCTGAGAGAGTGATAGTCTGTGTCTAGTTCTGTTAGTCTCCACTATTTGCCTCTGAGTCACTGAAGAGAGCAGCTAAAGTCCAGACCTGGTTTTAGATGTTTCTTCAAGTTAATAAAAGACTGCTTAAAAGTAAAGTTACTCATTTGATTTATAAAGAAAACTTTTATCTGTGACTTCATGGTCATCGTCACATTTCATCTTCACAATGACAAGACAGTGGAATAGCATAACTGTTATGTAGGGATGTTGATTTAAGAAAAAAAAAATCCCACAGCTGTATATACTTCAGATTATGCAGTAGGTGTCCACAGTTATAGTAATAAATAGATAGATAGATTGATTGATTGATTGATTGATTGATTGTAAAAGGGAACTCTTTAATCATTTAACAGTGGAAAAACACTCAAATACTGAAGCAACCTGTACTTCCAAAAACCAGCTGCCAGCTAACGTGGTAAAGACCATTCCAGCAGAATGTATGACACAGAATGTTAGGAATGTTTTCATTGAATTGTTCCCTTAGACATCTCAGTGCTCACAGCTCCCCCCTACATGTGTTTGTGTTTTGTCCAGGTGTCCAGAGGGTCCTCGCCCCAGCACAGTGAGAAGCTGTCAGCTACCCTGTAAAAAGGACTGCATCGTGACACCCTTCAGTGACTGGAACCCATGCCCTGTCACCTGTGATGCAGGTAAAGTAGAGTGAGTCTCCTGAAGAGAAGATTCAGCTGCTTTTCAGACAGATTAATCGTTTGTTGCAAACATTACTTAGTCAGTTACAGTGATTTACAAGAAACGATTTAAATAAATTAGGACTAAAATACAATTTAAAAAAGCGTTAGATACTTTAGATTAGTGTCAAATTGTTATTTCAAATCTATCATAACTTGAATCACATTGTATCATGTCGTTACATTTTTCATATCACCTGTAATTTTTTCTTTTACTTAACATCTCCTATCTGAAACAGTTAAGTCAAAAGCAACTGATCTCAGTTTCTGTAAGGCATTTCACCTCTCGTCCAAGAGACTTCTTTAGTTCTGGGGCTTAGCCTCAGAGTGGCTTAGTAACTGGTGAAGAAAAATACAAACAAACAAAACATGCGACCCAATGGCAGGTTTTCCGCAATGGGAGATATAGGTCAGTGGTCCTCAACCCCGGATCCGGGGACCAGTGTATGTCATTTGGTTCCGGGCAGCAGTGGGACACAGTGAATAAAATGTACTTCAATTTTATTAATCTACTAATTCCAAAAGAATCCAGTCATATCCCTTTACTTTCTTCATTCAAAGATAATCTGTCATGTTTTAAAACAACAGGTCATTCAGACTCTGATACTAACAGAAGAAAGTCTAAAAGAGGATTGATTTTGAAAATTTGATGATCTGCATGAAGGAGAACCGACACAGATACATCTGTCATTTCTTACTTTCTTATCTCTTCATATTTCCTGTCTATATTGTCTGACCAGATCTGATCTCCCATCTTTTGTCCTGTCATCTGTTATAGCAAATCTTTTTTTTTTATCACAGAATATTTCATTTCATTTCATTTCTTCTTTTGTATAATATTCATTATATACCTGTACCCAGTTGTCTTTTAAGCTTTTAAGCTCGTCTTTGTTCCAGTATAGCACTTCTTATTTCTCCTCTCCTTTTTGCATTAAATTTGCCATGTGTATTTTGGTCCAGCTTTTACTTCTGTGATTATCTTATCTCCTGATCAGAATCTGTGCAGAGTGAAACACATTTTTACTCCTTCACATTCTCATGTCTTCCTTCACACAGCCAGTTCGACAGATCGTTGTCAGAGCTATAACGACGGTCACTTTACACTTGACACTGTCTCAGTCACGTCTACAAGGGTCAAAAACTGCTGTATTGCAAGTAAAGAAAAGGGGGGTGTTGGTGTTTAGATGAGGTCACCTTCGTGCTGCGGCCTCTGCCTGAGCAACTCAGCCACGGCAACAAAAAAAAAAAAAAAAGTTCCATTGATTTATGAGTGAAAATCATTACAGTCCATATTTTGACGACCTCCTCGTTTGACACAAAGGCATAAATCACTGCAGAATGAGCAGCGCAAGCTGGGGGCCGTGCATTTTAATGTGCTGCTGTTGATACTTCTAACCTTGTGGAGAGCATTTCAGACGCACACATATTCAAATCTAATCTGGACCAACCAGAGGCTCGTTTTGTCTTAATTAACTATTGCGGAGGGGGGGTCTCCTCTACAGACGTAAATACCATAAAATATATTTCAGACCTCAGGTCTGCTGGGATTTTCTAATCATCAGTGTTGTTATCGTCATCATCATTGTGTTTATTGAACTGTTGGCTGTCAAGGCTATCAATTAAAGTATAATAGTTTGGGTTTTTTTTTTCAATTGAAGGCATATGAGTAGGTCACATCTACTTTAAACAAACTTCCCTGCATCTTCTATCGATTAACCGATTTCCCTGAGAAACAATCTTCTATCGATTAACCGATTTCCCTGTGAGGTAGTTCAGCAGTTTTTAATAGAAGTCATTATAAGGCGTTGCCTGAGCCAAACAAAAAGTAACAACAATTGGCAAAAAAGAAATTACAATTTCCAATTTGTGGATTTGTCAGATACCAAGAGTTTTACTGTGGCTGCTCTGTTTCTTCCTATTCTGGAAAACGAATATTTGAGCAGATTAAACCCCGGCCTCAGGAAATTATTTTATTAAAAATTAAAGTACATTAACACTTAATGTAATGTTATAGACTATTCATTTTGAAATTCTCCAGAACAGAACGTTTGATTTTAAATATATATATATATATATATAATATATATATAATTAATAGTGTTTAAAGGTCATTGATTTGTGTGTTTGTGTGTGTGTACAGCCGGTAATGTAGCGAAGAGAAAGCAATCTAGGAAACGTCTGGTCATCCAGCTGCCATCTAATGGAGGACAGGAGTGCCCAGATGTTCTGGAAGAGGAGAAGGATTGTGAGCTGCCTACTGTGTGTCCAGGATACAGGTACAATCTCCCTGAAATTATAGTATAACTCTGAAAACTGTTTTTAGGACCTCTGCCCTTTTATTTTTTACAAATTATAGGTGAAACTTTCACATCGACCACTGAAGAGTAAATATAAGGCCTGTGGAAACTTCCGTGTACTCTTTATATGCATTCAATATTTTTTTGATTTTTTTTTTTTTTAGTAATTTTTGCTTTCGTCGAAGCTAGGTGTAGCTGTTTTGTGCTAGCTTAAAGCTGTTCTTTGTATAATTTGACTAAACTCTATGTATTTAAATATTTTTGAGACCCTTGATCATAGTCCATGTTATAGCTTTAGCTGGCCTTTCTCATAGTCAAATTGACAAATTTGTCACAAGGCCTGGTGAACAAATTTGTTTTGGACACATGATAACAATTAGGAATACACCCGTTCTTAAATCCCAATGCAGACTGACAAACAAGAAAGGGAAGGTCCTATCAGGCAGTCATTGTAGAGGGGAACACAGGAACGTGGGAACAGGTAGATGGAAGTTTGTGGACACGAGCTGGCTATCTATCTAGATAGAATCTAGATAGATAGACAGATAGACAGATAGATAGATAGATAGATAGATAGATAGATAGATAGATAGATGTTATGTAACATTGAAAGGAGACTATTAATTAGGAAGGTGGTGCTTCCAGAGGGTTAGAGTGCAGAGGTGGAAGTAGGTGTAGAAGAAGGGAAATACAGGAAAGTGCTAGTACAGGAGGTGCTCTCTGAAGAGCTTGGTTTTCTAGAGCTACTTAGAGATAGATAGGGATGATGCCCCCTGCTCTGGTGGTGCTCAGTAGGTCGTTCCACCAGCATTGAAGAGACAGTTAAAGTAAACTATAATAAAATCATCATAGAATTTTAGAATATCACAAGGACATTCTATAATCTTGGTAATGTTGATTCAGCACATGGTTTCAATAAATAACTCCTGATATTTTGTGACATTTTAATCAACCAAACCTTCTGCGACGGCATTGTCGACCATATCGAGAGTGCTTTAGTGTCACGCCATAGCAACGTGTTACAGAATATACTGGTGTCAAAGTGATCACCATGACTGCACTGACATGAATTCAATGTTCTGATTGGTTCCAGGTGGAAAACACACAAATGGAGGAAGTGCCAGCTGGTCCCCTGGTTTCTCAGACAGGACAGTCCCACTGCACAGGAGACCTGTGGGCCTGGCATACAAACCAGAGGTAGAGGAACACACACACACACACACACTAATTTCCCCCAGCCTGGTCAGTAAGCCAGTCCTTTTTGGCATAAATTACATTTTCCCGTTGCGGTACATCTGGATCCTAGCCATCAGGCAGCAGATGGCAGTACCAAGGTTCAGAGAGAGGGCTGATTTCACCAGGAGCTGATACTTCACATCACCTCCTCCTCTCACTGCGAGATACACAATCTGAGACTGACACCTCAGGTTTAGAACCCTTTGGAAATGTATTTTTTTATTTATAATTTTGGCTGGGTAAGTTTACAAAATAATGTGGTGTTAATGTATTAAACAATTATTGACAATTTAAACAACACATATTTGAACAGTAATAGGACAAATTAAAGATTCCTTTTTAATACTCTCTCGTCTTCTGTCAGAGAAAAGATATTCCAAATCTTTTGCTCTAGAACTATTTGGGGAGAGATTGTTCCATGCATAAGAATGCTTCAACAATAACTTCCGACCCATTTAGTCTCTGCTCTGTTAAACTCCTGACTGTGACGGCCAGGAAAAAGTTTAACAATATTTTAAAGTATATTTTATATAGTATAGTATATTTAATAGTATTCTAAAATATAAAGTGAAATAATAAAGACTTGTAATAGTTCACACAGTTATATAACTACCATAGACCCCTAAATATAAAACCCTGTTGCATTCACTAATTAAAATAAAATAAAAGTAGGAAATTAAGTGAACCTTGTAACAGTAGTTTACATCTAAACCTAAATTGATTGGGCAGAAAAGTGAGAATACCCACTTCAGACAATGGTTGGATTAAAAAAAAAATCTTAATTGTAGGTGTTTATTGTCATTTTTTAAAAACATTATATACAGGGGGTGATTGACTTATAAATACATCATTTTTTAAAAACATTATATACATACAGGGGGTGATTGACTTATAAATACCTATGTCATGCACCTATACTAACACAGTGGTAACATCATAATCTAGGACATAAAAACATCAGAGGAGTCTCGCTTACACCTGGGAGCCACAATGAAGGGCAAAAAGTTCCCCAAGAAAGTGAACCATCCAATGTATGACCAACATACGGCAAATTCAAATAAAAACTGTCTTCCGCGTATAATGCCACATGACGTCCTAATGATGGAACAAGACTTGAATCTAGGTTTCAAGAATTTATGGGAGCGCCATAGGTCAAGGACGTCGAGTTCTCAAAATCAAGTCAATTAAAAATTCCCGACATATATTAAAATTTTAAAAACAATTATTTTCAGACTATGTTTGATGAAATAAAAACACTAGTCCTTCCCTGCTGTTCCATTTTACTGTGTCCTTAAGTTGAACTGAGATTTTTCCTGCTAATACAAAATTATTGATAAATACACACATATACACACACACAGTGATGCCTGATAGGACGTGACCTCAACGCTATAACGCAGTCTTATCAAACCAATAGCGGCACCCACGGGGGGCTCAGCAAAATTGTGCTTGAAGATTGATTTTCCTGTAAAGGTGCAGTCCTGCAGAACAGCTGCATCACAGAGAAATAAAATACTACAAAAACAGGAGTGAAACTCTCTCATTGAAACAACCAGAAATAAAATGTTATATATAAAAAATCTGATGGACTCTGATAGGAGATGCATGAATGTCTCCTGTGTTTATATCTGGTTGATGCTACACAGCTATATCACTTCAACTCACCATATTTACAGTCCCCAAATAATTAAATGGATTACAAAGAACAGTACTGTGTCTGCATGAATAAACAGACAAGGTACATGATATGACTGGCTTTTACAGTATGTATTCTTGGCACACTAAAAAGTATTAAGGTCTAACATTAAACTATTATTATGAGGAAACTATAAAAATATAAAATATATGATACATACTGTATGTTTATACAATTAATCCAAAAGTCTTATTTATAGGATTATAAGGTTTATTCTTCATTATGATTGAAGATTACAAGAATGAAATTTTGGGAGAGGAAAGTCACGAATTCAAATTTTAATTTAATTTAAAACAGTTTTTAAATAGAGTCATAAATAAGAGAGCCCGGTTTAATGTCTAAATTCTAAAATGACATAAGAAGTCATAATTATAAGAGAAAGGTCTTGATTATGAGATCCATCCAAACTAATGAATACAAATCTGTCTATTGGTTTAATAACCTGATGTGTGCAGTTTTTGTCACGTGATTATGACCTTCCATGTCAGAATTCCGACTCTATTTCCTCATAACTGTGAATTACTGGTTGACTTATTTCACATGGCAGAAAGTCTTCCATAGATTATGGTACCTTAGCATGAAGAACGGAAGCATGAAATGAAAACCCACCAACAGACTTAAGTGTTCGCTAATTAATTTGATTTATTACTGGCTGCCATTTGCAGTTTAATGGTGCACAGTGTGCTGGACTATTAATTTCATCAGCTTCAGGACTTTTATAACCCCCGACCAGCAGCAGCTGGCTACAACTTATGTCCCATATTTGTCCGACAAACAGTGTGACCTTAGTCTGAAAGAACATTTCTCCAAATGTTGACATCAACAAGCCAAAGCTTGAAAATATATTTTTTATACTTTTTTGGGTCACTGGACCAAGAAAAAAAATCTCGCTTAGACGTTGCAGACCTTTCGGTCTCTTATACCAAATCCAATTGTCAAACACAGCTATTTTTGACCGTCAAGGACAATGATGCTGCTGGTCCACTAGACCACATCATTTTTTTTTAGTCATTCAAGTGCAGTAACAAAGGAAAATTCCAAACCTGCAAGTCACGCAATAAGATTTCAGAGCGTCACATTGGAGGCAGCAGTACAACATAAGTTCTGTTAAGTTTATTATTTTCTTCATATAAATTCAATCCCCATTATTCAATTGAACTGATTTGCACTTATCAATCACTTAATATTTAATTATTGTTAAGAGACTCGGTAGTACATTGGTCTTGTAAGACTTCCTGTGCTTCTTTCAGCTGTTTCCTGTCGCCAGCTGGACGGGACACAGGCAGACATCAGCCAGTGTCTGAAGTTGGCCAAAGCCATGCCTGTCATCACTCAGCACTGTCAGCTGCCCTGTCAGGATGACTGCCAGCTCACCAACTGGTCCAAGTTCTCCTCCTGCACCGCAGACTGTGTCGGGGTCCGAAGCAGGAAAAGGACGCTAATTGGTAAGAACCAGGATGTAAATTTTCTTTTTATTGAACAGCTTTTTTATGGCCTACACTCAAGTTTTACTCTAATTACTGTAGTTGGTTGAATGTAACTGTAAATTTGATAGCTCAGTTTTTTACTCTTTTTTTTGATCGGGGTGCCCAACAGGTGGATCATGAGCAATCAAATGACCCCAACATATAATTTATATAAATGGTAAGATCATGAGCAATTAAATAATATAAATAAATTATAGAATTCTATTTTTAGCCATTTATTCAAATGTCCCCAACATATAATTTATATAAATGGTATATTCAGTTTAGTGAAGTGAAGATGTATCTTATTTTCCGGACTATAAGTCGTTCCGGAGTTTTCGCACAAGCCAGAAGATGAAAAAAAAGTGCGACTTTCAGGAGTAGCAGATACTGGTACACAAGCCTAGGGTGCCCTCTAGTGGTGGTAAGAGTGAAAATAACAAGCGTGAAATTACAGTATATACAGTATCTTATATATAATATATATATAAGTTGCACCTGAGTATAAGTCACAAACCCAGCCAAAGGATGAAAAAAGGTGCAACTTATAGTCCGGAAAATACGGTATACCAAATTTTTAATGTAAGTAGATGATTTTACCCTGGTATTAAGAAACGTTAAAAAAAAGGGTTCCTTCTAATCTAGAGCGTGTTCCTTTATGACGGGTCACCAAAGCAGTAAATGGATGGATGGATGGATGGATAGATAGATAGATAGATATATAGATCTATCTGCTAATATCTTTTATTAGTTTAAAAAAAGAAGAAGAACAACTGGCACAGCCACTGTATAAAGTCTTTCCACAGAGCCTATTTGTTGTCTTATTGTATAATTAAAACTCGTTCAGGTAACAAGGTTATTTCAGGGGGTAGCATTGGTGGGCAGCTTTCTAAGCGAGTCGCAGTAACGTGGGGGGAAGAAAAGGTCATAAATTTGCTCAGATAGTTCTTGCCAACTAAATGCTCCGGTGGGATTAAAGCAACAAATCTCAAACAACTCCTGAGCCTCTATCATCCATCAAACCGTCCCCAGAGAGACGCCGCTGCAAAAAAGGCAGCATGACGAAAGTGAGAAAATGCATTAATGCACCTCGGCAAACGTTCTGATCCAGAGCAGGGGAGTGAAAAAGAGACAAGAAAAAGGTGTGGGAAAGTGGATCTAAATGGCTTTCACTTTGCCGTGGCGTAAAAGTTAAGTATCTTTTGACCCTTTAACCGATGTGTGCAATAAGGCAGGTCACAGAGAGCATGGTATCACGTATAAGAAGTAGCTTAGCTTTTTTTATACCCTAGAAAAGACAAGATTGTGTGATTATCTTAAAAAAAATTACACAAATGGTATTGGTCTTTTCTCTGGTGGAAAGTAAGAATATTCTTGCACTACCTGCTGATGAGAGTGACCTTTACACAGAAGTGTACGCAGCCGAAGAGTCATTTGTCATTTGAGGCGTTAGTAGGAATGATTTCAACACAGCAAAATAACAAGTGCTAATGATGGACCGCCACAAGCAAAATGTCTCTTTGCATCAATCAGTGACAAGTTTGTATGAGTAAATATATAAAAAAAAGTCTGGATGATTCACTGAAAGATCTCACTGCATGAAGCCACTTTAGCAGAGTGATGTTTCCCGAGGGGCTTTCTGTCTCTGTCAATGAGTCGACTGAGCAAAAAAACAGGGCCAGGGAAGAAAACGAGTCGTCTCCACACCTGGGGACGAAATTAACAGAGACAGAAATCCACCGACTGTGTTGACTTCTCTCTCCTGACTCACTTTCATTCCTCTTCACTCCTGTTAGGGAGGAGCAAGAAGAAAGACAAGTGCAAAAACACGCAGATGTACCCACTGAGTGAGACCCAGTACTGTCCCTGCGACAAGTACAACGCTCAGCCGGTGGGCAACTGGTCTGACTGCATCCTGCCCGAGGCTGATAGAGCTGAGAGCAGCCTGGGGATGAAAATCCAGGGGGACGTCAAGGAGTGTGGACAGGGCTACCGCTACCAGGCTATGGCCTGCTACGACCAGGACAACAGGCTGGTGGAGACGTCACGCTGCAACAGCCATGGTGAGTCCATGTGCAAACTGGAGGTACATCTATGATAATAATTTTCATTCTCTCTCAGTTGAACAAGAAGTTAAAACCTATTTTTCTTAGTGATTCTTAACCATAGGAAAGTGGCCCAAACATGGGCGTCCAGCACCACATCACAGGCCACATCAACTTTCAGGTCTGCATAAGTTGTCAACTGAAGACACCAGCAATGTTATCCATGCCTTGTTACAATGCAGCCTTTATGGAGATGGAGAAGTTTTTAACATATAACACAATAATTGAAGACATGTCTTAAGCAATCCCACCCATAGGGAATGTAAAAAATGCTCCTACGACCTTAAACAAACTATTGTCAAATTTCAAAGGTCTGTGAGCAGGATTTCCGTGACCTCACATGGTTGGTTACAACCAGGACAGATCCAATATTGGATTTGAACCTTTCATAAACTAAAGAATATCCCAGGTTTAAATTAGATTTTACTACAATATGGTGCATAACCTTCTAACGCATGTCCAATTTTCTGTCAATACCACTACCCCGTAAGTCATTAACAAGCCAAAAAAAGGTTAAAATGACAAGAAGATAAATATATATGTACATATATACATATATAGAGAGGGAAAATAATCTCAGCTGCTGAGATTGTGAGCTTGTGTGAAATTGCTGTGAAATGGAACATTGAGAGACGTTCAAATGGATTCATCAGCGGTGTGTATGTACAAACATGGATTTAGCCTCATGGCATTCAGAAGAGGCATGTCACCTAATCTGAGCGTGGGTGTGACGAGTGCACACAGTCAGGGTGGATCTGCGTGTGTCAGTGCGTCTTTTACACCTACCTATAGGAGCTGTTGTTTGCGTCAGTGCGTGTGTGTTTTCATCAGTATATTCTTTTTGAAGTGCCTCAGAGAGTGGAAATGGCTCCTTGAGGTGCGCGAACGCAGACAGACAAACAAACACGTTGCTGGATCTCTCTGTTAGTGCATTGGAATGTTGATGATTATCATCAAATCCTCCTCTCTCCTCCCATCATACACCGATCTTCCTCTCAATCGCTTTCCCTCCCTCTTCATTTTCTCTGCCATTTCCCTCCATGACAGCCATTATCGCCATCATCACTTTCATCATCTCCACCATCACAGCTTTTAATCTCGGTGCCGGAGGAGACACAAACGTTCTACCGGCTGACACGATGCCCTTTGGCTTGGATGATGATCAGAAATCATGTCGATCTGGTCTTTGTATTCCAAAGGCATTAGCAGAAAAAAAATAAGAACGGGGGGATTATATTTAAGAGAGGGGGCTGATCCCTGCTCTGAGGTAGTCCTTATTTTTCAGATTGCTACATTCCTCTGTAAGACAGAGCTGCAGTTCTGGATAGACATTTAAGGTTAGCATTTTAATGCTAAACCGTGCAGATAATTGCCTTGTAATTTATTTGAAGTATTTTTTTAATTGTCTATCTGTAATGACATGAACAAAGTCAGAGTTTAGCTAAGTAAAGAAGATGCAACAAACAGACATGAAAAATGTCTAATTTTGAGCGATTAGTTCAATTAGAAAGGGATTAAAATGAGTTTTGTTAACAGTTGATTATCTACTCAATTCTGCTTAGTTTTAAAAGTGTTTTTTTTTGTATGGAAAATAAAAAAACAACAACAATCAGTCTAAAAATGTATTAGTAAGTTTTAGTCATCATAAACCCAACTATATTGATGGTCTCTGGCCTTTAGCAACAAGCACAGCATCTGCTGAAACATCCCTGCTTAAAACTAAACTCCTTACCTGTCAAAACAACCTCTACTAAAAATGAAACTCTACGATCTGGCTGGTTTTTAAAAAAAATTACTCGAAGAAATGCTAAAACTTTTAAGAATTGATGGCTTTAGGGAAGTGGTTCAGTGTGTTTGTGATCAATCTTACGAACGGAGTTTGCCACAGTTTCTGAGTTTTTTTGCATCAATTTATTCTCCATGCAGTGCCAATGTACATGATTAACAGCGAATTCCTAAGGTAGGCAAAGGGAACTGGAGGAAACACAGACCAAATTAGAAAGATTACTTTTTTTTGTCAGGTTTGTTCATATTTAGTTGTACATCACGGACACATGATGTCAAATGTATAAATATATTTTAAATTTTAGCTTCTTTTTTTTTAATCTTTGCACCCTTTAACTTTTAATACTGTCTAGGTTAAATATTTTACATACTGCCACGTTTTCAAAGAACATTTGATCGATTTGGCATATTCTTTGATTTTGTTTTTTTATGTTTGGTATGTCTTCTGTGCTCTATTTCCCCTGTATTTTATTATTTATTTGCTGCTATATTCATTCATCCGTGTTCTCTGGCTGTCAAAAATAAAAGTAGTAGTAAATACTCAGCAAAACCTAGAAAGAAATATGATTTTCATATAGAAGACCATCAGTTTTACCTGGGTTAAGCTGTTGACCTTTTCATTTAGGCAAGAGCACTAATAGTCCTTCATTGTGTGGACAATGGAAGCTTCATATATGAATCTATTTTTTCTAACCAGTGATCATTTGTCATAGCACATTTATCAATTTCTTGTCAATGCAAAATAGGAGGTAGCAGGGGACATGGTCGCCCTGCCAATGTTGACAGGGCAATGTAGCGTGAGGAAGGTGAAAGCTTACCGTCAGTGCATGTTCTGCTAATGAAACACCTGTTTGTCTAGTGAGGAAGGTGAAGGTGTTCTGCTAATGAAACACCTGTTTGTCTGACTTCAAGAAACTTGAAGCATAAAAATAACTACAAAATAAGATTACCCAGGCAAAAAACAAGTTCAGAGCCAAGGTTAATCACAGTATTCTGTACGTGATGTATTTTAGTCCGGGGTCAGGGTCCAGTGGTCATGGCGACTGCTTCAGGGAGGTTTAGCTGCAGCTTCTGCCAGATCTAAAGGCATCAATAGCGATCTGTCTCCTGGACTCCTTCCAAAATCCTTCTCAAGAGCCTGGCAGGAATCCTAACAACTTTATATTGTTTGAACTTGAGGTGAACTACAAGCTGAAGTGTAACTTTTGCCCTGAGGAGATGTATAGTGGCAGCAACAGTGAATGTGAACAACCAGACTGACTGTTGGGTTTACAGTGTGAGGTCAGAGTTGCTGGAACTCTGCCTCCGGCAGGTGCTGAACTCAGCGCATTAGTCATGCTGATATGTTGATGTGGACATAAGAGTTATAGAGTGTTCCAGACCTTATGTTCCTGTCGTTGAAGAGTTGTAGGGACGTTAAATACTTTCCTAAAGGTGTTTCTCACTGACATTTAGGTTAGTGTACGATGTCAATGAAAAGAAAAATCCATACTTGTCGTCGGTGGTAAGTACTGTTTAATGGGTGGATAGTACTGGAGTACTTAGACATAGTACTGGAGCTTAGATTAGATTAGAACTATGGGTAGCTTGATACAACTTTTTCATATCTGATACCGATACTGCAACTTAGAGCATCTGTTGATACTAATATCAATCCGATACTGTCTTCTCTCCTCTAATGTGCCGCGGACTGCCATTGCTGAGGTGATATTGTCGGAAATTAAGGAACAGTACATGTATACATCCACTGCTACTCCCTAGACACAGTTGATGGGTCACATTCAGAGGACAAGTCTTCTAGTCTTGGTTTCATATGTGTGTGTATATCTACAATGTACGGCTGTCAATCGTGATTAGTTGGGATAAAAATCATCATTCGTAAATCTGGAAAAAAATCTGTGTATTGCTGGAATAGATAGACACATAACAGCAGGTAGATGGAGTTATTTGTTACTAATCCAAATGACCTTGATGAATCAAAGCTCCCATTGTGTTCAAATAATTATATATGTGTGTATATGTTTCAGCCTTGTAGTCAAGCAAGGATAAGTGGGTGGATATCAAAAAATTGGCTTGATATAATTAATACAAAATTAATCAAAAACATAAAAGATGTCAATGAATCTTGTCAGCAACTCTCAATTTTTCCAGGTTTTTAAAGTAAGGGGAAAATATCCTCTTTGTTTTTAAAGTAAGGGGAAAATATCCTCACATTAACGCTGCCGTATTGATTTGTTAGCTCTGAGCCGCCATCATTAGATTCCTCTCCACTCTGTGTAAAGTTTGTTTTTGGAAAAACTCTCCTCATTCCGTATATAAAACGAAATGTGTGAAACAGTGAATGAAACGCAGAGCAGGCACAGTACGAACCGGCTCTCATCAAGAAGAGCAAGTGTTTAGGAAACCAGACTGACAATCCACTTTCCCGCCTCATTCGCTTCATTGATTTTCTTAATAAAGAAAACTGATTTACAGAGCATCGCTGGAACAACAACCAGGTTCTGCTCCCTCACAGATCTAGGTTATTTGGCTTAAGCTCAGAGCGAAAGAATGTGAAAATCTAGGGGAGAGAAATAAGATCCAGCTGCACATCTGACCAGGCAAACACATAGAAGTCACGGAGCAGAGATGGAGAACCATTAAACGGGCCTGAAAAGAACCACTGTTACTGCCGTGACCCTGTGAGCTAAAGCAAAACAGATTGAAATGATAAGGTTGGCTGCCACACGTAGCCACAGATTCACTAGATGTGTTTTCATCTGTAATGTAGCGTTAAATTGTGGCTTTGAATCGAGGGCACCTCGATTCCACCAGGATGAAAATCGATAACTGCGTTTATATAACATTGTGATTAACAATTAATATTACGGCTGAGCATGTTTCTTGATCTAATATTTATAGAGTCTTTGAGCTGTAACAGCTGTCACTAGAGAATCAGAATTCAGCCAGACCTCTGAGGTTTTATAAAGATTAGCAAAAAAGCAGCTGAGGCAAAAGATAATTAGAACAGCCTGTTCTTGGACAACAGAGCTGCATTTAATTTACCTTCTGTTTAAGAGTGCACTCTTCTTTTGGATAGAAACCTTTATGACCCAATAAAACCAGTTTGTTCAGTATAAACTGAAACAAAACAATGATATTGTCATTTTCTCCCATTGTGTGTGTTTGGGATCAGGTTACATCGAGGAAGCCTGCATCATCCCCTGTCCTTCAGACTGTAAACTGAGTGAATGGTCCAACTGGTCACGCTGCAGCAAATCCTGTGGCAGTGGGGTCAAGGTTCGCTCAAAGTGGCTTAGAGAGAAACCCTACAATGGTGGACGACCGTGTCCTAAACTGGACCACATCAACCAGGTAGGGACAGAATGAAGATACCTTATGCACATCCATCCATCTATCTATCTATCTATCTGACTGTCTGTCTGTCTGTCTGTCTGTCTATCTATCTGTCTATCTGTCTATCTTTCTGTCTATCTGTCTCTCTGTCTATCTATCTATCTGTCTGTCTGTCTGTCAGTCTGTCTGTCTATCTATCTATCTGTCTGTCTATCTATCTGTCTGTCTATCTATCTGTCTGTTTATCTATCTGTCTGTCTGTCTGTCTATCTATCTATCTGTCTGTCTATCTATCTTTCTGTCTATCTATCTGTCTGTCTGTCTATCTATCTGTCTGTCTATCTATCTTTCTGTCTATCTATCTGTCTGTCTGTCTGTCTGTCTGTCTGTCTTTCTATCTATCTATCTGTCTATCTATCTATCTGTCTATCTATCTATCTGTCTGTCTATCTATCTATCTGTCTGTCTATCTATCTATCTGTCTATCTATCTATCTGTCTGTCTGTCTGTCTGTCTGTCTGTCTATCTATCTGTCTGTCTGTCTATCTATCTGTCTGTCTGTCTATCTATCTGTCTATCTGTCTATCTATCTTTCTATCTATCTGTCTGTCTGTCTAATGTGTGATAAAGCTAGAATTATGCTCTGTTTGACATTAATATTAAGTTTTTGTTTGTTATGTTAATGTCAATCAGAGAAAACCATCATTAGTGTGGACAGGTTGGCATTATTTCAATGTTGCAGTGGCAATGGCTGGAGAGAAGCACCAGAGTGTCATAGCAGTCATAGCAGTTGAATATTTTCATGTTAGTGATATTGTGTCCCCCAAGTGTCGATCCTCCGGCGTACGTGGTTGCACGTAGGTATTTTTTCCCACCCAAGGTTTGTCTGACAAGATCCTCCTGAAGCACAGCATTGATTACAGTCTGTCTCTGTATGAACAGTTGGCATCTGCTCATTAATCCATCTGTCTCTCTTTAATCCACACGCCGGCACCCGCTGCACACCATTCACCGCTACAGGCTCAGGTAAGAACTGCTTCCCTCTGCCGTTCCTCATGTTGGACGCAGATGTTGAGTGTCACTAAATGTCAGTGTGTCACAGACAGATTGATGTACACTATGGCAGATGGGAGTTTTATTTAGACTGGCATCATTTAGAGGAAGAGCCCATGCGCTGCAGATAGTCTAGTTTTAGTTTAACAGCGTTAAAGCTGTGGGTTATTTTAAAAACAGTGGACCTTTTATTTTAATGTTGGTTTGGTTGACACTTAGGTATATGAAGTCTTTTTTTTACTTCAAATTAGTGTAAGGATCTGCACATGTACTCGTTTCTTTTGTAATTCCTGTGATGAACCCCCTGGTATTTTACTTCAAATTAGTGAAAGGATCTGCACACGTACTAGTTTTTTTTTGTAATTCCTGTGATGAACCCCCTGTGTTTCCTTCAGGTGTACGAGGTGGTCCCGTGTCAGAGCGACTGTAATCAGTACGTGTGGGTGGCCGAGCCATGGAGTGTGTGGAAAGTCAGCAATGTGGATTTGAAAGAGAACTGTGGGGAAGGAGTCCAGACCAGAAAAGTCAGGTAAAAATGCTAACTCTTGTACGAGTTTGATATTAAAGCAAAGGCAACAAATGACCCCCATTAGAATTCATTAGAGTCTAGAGTCTACCCAGATCTACTTTCTAGGAATCCCATGGTGGAATCAATGGTTGTAAGTAGATCTGGATCTAAATCCCATCAATGGTTGTAAGTAGATCTGGATCTACCAGTATAAAATAATTATAATTATTTGGTTTATATGAGCAAATATATATATTTTCAATGTATGTTGATCCCCTTGTCATTTGAGTAGCAGCGCAGAAGACAGGTTTGTTAAACAATTCAGATTACAACAGCTTACAATAAAAACCTTTTCGCGTCTACTCCACCAATCATGCTAGCGCAGAAGACAGAAGACAGGTTACAGATTACAACAGCTTACAATAAAAAGCTTTTCGCGTCTACTCCACCAATCATGCAGATGCATGCTAAACACCATCGACGGCCCCTCGGAATCAGTGGAGGATTACCTCTGTGACCCTGAGGAGATGCCACTGGGGGCGAGAGAGAGCCGACTACCCTGCCCCGAAGACTGTGTCCTGAATGACTGGGGACCCTGGAGCCGCTGCAGCCTGGTGAGACCCGAACCCAGATTAGAACATATAACAGCATCAGTGTGTATATACAGAAGCTGCAGACATGTGTGAAGCCCTCATATTTTTTTCATTCTGAGAGGCTCATGGAATTCAAAGCAGAAGATGCTGTGTGTTATTCTGAGTTGACTCCATGCACGGTATATTTGTGCATGAGGGAGGAGGTGCATATGTGTGTGTGAATGGACAAAGGTTTTTTTTCAGGTTGGTTCTTGTCCATGAAAGAAGAGGTAAAGAAGTGAGATATATATGCATTACACACAGAGAGGCAGAGCTTATGCAGTACGTCACCTATATAGCACCCTACTGTCAGTTCTCACAGAGAGATGAATCATCATCTATGAATAAAAAAAATGAAGTCAGACTGATACACAGACGGCAAATAAATATTACTTTGCCGTTGTGGCAACAACAATAAAAGACAATAAAAACAAAGAAGTTGGAATATTTTTGATCTATGGTAAGATACACAGGGCTGACAGGAAATAACTTCATAAATGTCAAGTCCGCTGGTGCTGATAGTAAACATGAGTGGATTTATGATTCGAATCCAACCCTGTAATCAACCCAGACTCTTTACTATTCACTGAGTAATATGAAGAATTTGCATATTTACAATTGAAAGTGACAATTGAGGGTTTTTTTTTCCCCACTGAGGTAAATCTGGATTTCCTACACTTGCATCACAAAATAACTACGGCTACAATTTATAAATGCTTTTCAAACAATGCTGGTAACGTAGTATTGTCATTGATCATTGTCTCATCCTCATCGCTTTTACCAAGAAAGCTAAACCAAGAGCTGCCGCTAAAGGTTTCTATTTACGAAATAATGACGTCTTGTTTATGATGATAACAAATGCTAAGATGGGGTAGAAACAGACCGCTGATGATAATAAATGCTAAGATGGGGTAGAAACAGACCAAACTGACTCTAACTGACTATATTCAATAGTCTGTTGGTTTATTTTCCACTGAAGTGATACTTGGGTTTTGTCAGTGAAATAACAAGTAATACGGGGGTCGGCTTACGTCAGAGTTTTTTTCCGATGCAACGTAACTCGATTTCTGAAGTCTGAACTCACATACTGTACATAAGTACCTGTGTCATTCACTGATGCAACATCATAATGTAGGACATAAAAAAGCAAAAGAAAGCGAACGTAGCACAATCCAATGTACAGTGAAACCTCGAGATACGAGCATAATCCGTTCCAGGACCGTATCTTGAATAATTTTTTCCCATAAGAAATAACAGGAAAAAAATGAATCCGTTCCGGCCTTCTAAAAACTATAGTATATAAGGATTCCTGTCATATAAAATAAAATGTGGTTTTAATTATGAGTTCTTACCTTCGAGACAGACGATACAGTAGAGGCTGATGGCGGAATGTGTGTGAGGAGGAGGGAGGGAGGAAGGGAGGGAAGAGCTGGCCTCATCACTATTAGAAGATTAGAAAAATAGAATGCACAAAATAGAGAAGTAGCGAATACATGAAGTGAACGGCGTGGGCTGCTCCGAGTGCTCTGCCACCTAGCATCGGCTTCTGTAAGCGTGCTAGTATCTCAAATCTTTACTTGTATCTTGAAGCAAAAATGTGCTCGTATCTGGAGGTTCCACTGGATGTAAAAATATGTGAATGTAAACAAAGCCGTCTTAGGTCGAGGACGTTGTAAACCGAGGACCCCCTGTATATTGTTAAAAAAAACAGGGTATAGAAATGTTATGGATCTGCCCATTCTCCTTTATCACAGGTATTTAGTGTAACTCAGTGTTCAGTTGCAATGTGGCAGCCTGACCACAGCTAATTTAAGGCTGAATAACTGTAGCAGTACTCCCATTTATATCCTGGTCACTGCAGCAAAAACACACTTAAGGACTGGCTATGGCTCAGAAGAGGAAACACATTAAACCTTTGCTGTGTCGTGTGTGATCACTGCCGCAGTTCCACACCTACCGTAGTGGCTGCTGCACCCACATCTCACTTGAACGTTTTGTTCCCCATGTTCTTTGAACTCTGAAACCTCTGAGTCATGGTAAAAAACATTGTTCTAAACGTTTTGGTTTCTCACGCTGTGCTCCCAGCACCACGGCGCCCATTGTTAATCACATGTCATTCTTTTCCAAAATGCTTGACACACACTTTTTGCACTTCCACTCTCAACATGGAGGCTGCTGCAGTGGCACCAACCAGGCCTCTCACATGTTTTATTCATCTCGTCAGTGATGGAGTTTTTCTAAAGTCTGTCATTTTCCCCTTCGGTGCACTTTTGTGTGAACAGTGGCTCAAATGAATGTGGTGGTTTGCAATTCCTGCAAAATATTAGCCCTGTTATTTCCCAATGGGAAGAAAATCTAATTCTAAATGCCAGGAATCTCCAGGAAGACCGTCTTTATAACAGACTGAATTCAGGTTCAATAAAGTTCACAACATTTCAGCAGTAGGAAAACGAGCAAAATACAACAAGTGAATAAAAGCATCAGTGACAGAATGTACTATTCATTGAAAAAATCCCAAGTCTGTAAGTATTGATGGCTTGTCTTTCTGTGTGTTCCAGCCCTGTACCCGAACCAATAATCGAGTTCGGACGGCGTACATCCTCCGGTCACCCAGTGTCGGGAGGCTGTGTCCGGCCACCACAGACGGAGAGCCCTGCAGCCTGAACCTCAACTGTTTCAACTACTTCTACAACATCACTGGTAAGGGAAATGGTGTAGAGTTCATAATCTAATAATAATACACACATACTACTGCCATGCAGCACCAATGTTACCAGTGTTAATTAAAAAAAGCCCATATGTATAATTTAGAAAAAATGTTTTTTTACTTTGTTTGATCCAATAATCCTGTATAATAAAACAGTGAAAATGAGTACAAATAATTAATTAACAAACAACTTTTTTTTTAAATCCTTAAGATGAAATTGTTATTGACATCCAGTTGCAGGCCAGATTTTAGGGGGGTTAATGAACCAGGAGTTTGAAAACCCTGCAATATAGTAAAAATAAAAACAATTCTGCTATGGTTTTAACACATTTGCCGTTACCAAAGTAAACCTAATCTTGTTTTTAAAAAGTGATGCCTGCAACAGACTGCACAAATTTGGGCAGCGAAAAAGTCTTAGATAAATCATTAGATAAATGTCTTGCCTTTCCGATAAATTTGGGCAGTGAAAAAGTCGGAATCATTAGATAAATGTCTTGCCTTTCCATTTAAAAACAATATTGTTCAGCACAAGTTAGCAAAGACATTTAATAATATTGTAGAAAGTTTCAGGGAAATCTTCAGGGTACTGTTCAATGAGCGTGACCATACAGAAATATATTTTAAAGTGAAAGATTAAAAAAAAAAGGATCCTAGAAGAGTATGCGCACGTCCTGCGTCTCAGATATCCAATGCGTATCTTCTAATTTGTTAACATGCGTGCCTTTATAAAAAGAAATATTTGATGCTAACAAATATGTCTTTAGGCTTTGTCTTGTCTTTGTCTTCAGGCAGTGGATTTACACCCTATCTGACCCCCTATTTTATTAAAGTGTGTGTGTGTGTGTGAGTCATTTGGCAGGGTTAATGAGCTGAGGCAAACTCACAGTATATGACAAGTACAAGTCGTGCTCCTCAATCTGCTGAGTCAGTGCCACTGCCTGAATTCATAGTCCCGTCACGTTCATCTACAGAGATCTATTCTGATATGTTGCCGAAGGGGAAAAAAGTTTCGGTTCTTGTCAGCAAAGACACTGTTGATTTATTCTGTAGTAGTTCAATACGCCTTGTCAGAGACCTGTCTGTGAAATAATATCTATTTTATATGTAAATAAGGATGTCTCTGTGTGTCCCGGGACACATTTCTTATCCTCACATGAAGCTTAGACATGGAAAATGGTAAAAGGGACAGTTCGGTATATTTTCTTCGTTGAAGTCTTTTGTATGAGACATTGTACTGTACTAGCCTCTGGCACACATGGCACAAAAATCTTGTTTTAGCAACTAACAACAGTCTCACCTGATGAAAACCATACCTGCTGATGACTGTAATACCTGATAACATAGTTGTTTTAGTTATTTTACCTATCATTTTCTATGGTAAAATCAACCCCTAAGGTCACAGAGAAAGTGTAATTTTGCATAATGCCATAATGTACACGGGGTACTCGGTTTACGACGTCCTGGACAAATTGTGATCGCCAGATATTAAGAAAGTCATGTTCCATCATTGTGAAGTACGCTGTTGAAAGAAAATATGCACGGGAACCAGTTGGCGAACTCAACGCTATATATGATAGGGCTTTGTTTACATTCAGTGGTTGTACGCCATACATCGGGATTTGCCACATTCGCTTTCTTTCGTTTGTGTTGGGGTTTTTTGAGGAACTTTTTTGCCCTTCATTATGGCTCCCAAATTGTGAATAAGGTTCACAGTCAACAGTTAAATGTTGCTGCATGTATGATTGTAAAGTAGAGATAGCTTAATCCGATTTGTAGGATTGGTATTGGTCCAATTTTTGTCAAAATGTCAGGATTGGAAAAAAAAAACAACCATAGCCTGTATGATCCAATACCTAAGCCCAAATGCTAATCCTAATTTTGTGCAATGTCGTGAACACTATCGCCTCGGCAACGCCAGCCTGCAGGATGCTGCAGGAGAAAAGAAGGTATCAGATTGATATCAGTATTGGCGGATAGTCCAAATTGCAGTATCGGTATTGGACATGAAATCGTTTTATCGAGCTGTCACAACATATAAGTTGATCTGCATGTTGTGTTCTGTCTAGGATTTGTCTCAGACGACCCCAACTGTAACCCTCCTGTGTTTACCAAGGCTTGCATCTGTCAAGGAAGACTCACTGGTTTGACTCTTACAGCGTAGGGCTCAGCAGCTGCAAGTCTAAATCATTGTTTTCAGTCAGAGGAGGGTTGTAGTTGTTTGTGGCTTAGTGCATGAATATGTAATAAAGTAGGTTGTTGAATAAGATTTGAACAAAGCCTGTTGAGGAGTCAGTGGAAGCAGTACTAGCCAACCTTGGTTGGCCTGTATTTTTTGTTGTTGTTGCATGTACTCCATGTCAGAGTACGCTTAACGATGCTCAGTGTTCAGACTGTGGTTGTTGTGGGCCTCATTATATATAATTGCTTCATAAAGAGTGTGATTTAATGCAGGGGGACTGTCTGCGTTGCTAACACTAACAGGCCTCTGTGGTATTCATATTCGTACTCTTGGTCCACTCCTCTGTGGGTTTTATGACCATTCAAGGCCCGCATGGCAAACATTGATACCTTTTGTTTGTTTTTTATTTTTTACAGACTGGAGCACGTGTCAGTTAAGTCCCAACGCCGTATGTGGGAGTGGCATCAAGACCCGGATGCTGGATTGTGTTCGCAGCGACGGCAAATCAGTGGATTTAAAATTCTGCAATGAGGTAAGTGGTGAAAAAGTCGCTCTTCCTCATCATCATTTTCTTTTACTCTACATTGGGATGAATGAGACCTCAGGTCAATGACTACAAAATTTGTGTTATTTTGGTCCTAACTAAACAAGTGATTTGAGAAAGTTAGGGTTCTTTTGAGGAGTTTGGAGTGCAGCTTTAAATGAGCTGTGTTCAGCCCCCTGCTGGCTGCTGTGTGCCAAGAAGAGGCAGTGAAAATGGTTACGAGTGGAGAGATATTTTTATCCCATTGTGACCTATTCCAAATAGAAACTACTGTTGGCTGCTGTGGTTGAAATTATATACCTCTTTTCTAGTCCTTTGCGGAAATTTGTGATTGTAGCTGGAAGAGGCACCGTTTCGACAGATCCTCTACTGCCTCTAATGGAGAGTTTATGTCGCGAAGAAAATTTAAAAAATTAAAACACTTCAAATCAATAATTATATTGATTATATTATAAAAACGTATGGTTGGAGAAAACAGTCTTACCAAACTGCGTTTGTCCTCATGGAATGTTACTAGACTTTGAAAACCAGATGATCTAATCTTTAAATTTCTTTAATTTCTTCTTAAAGTCCTTGAATGTCTGAGTCTGCAGCGGTGGTTTGTCTTAATGACTTAATTACCTCATTTATTACCGCCTTATTGAATCCACACTCTGCTCTTAGTCCCAGGGCACCATCAAAAATTCACAAGCCTCACCATTGTTTCCGTTCCTACGGGCTGAGGCTATGACTCATTCATAATTCGTCCGTGCCTCCTGTAACGGTAGCCGTTGTACATGTGATGTCATAGCTCAGCCCAAATACTTATTTTGAGACACTCTTCCACATAAAAACATTTGTGTGTGTGCCAGAACATCTGACAGCAGCTTCAGTGTTCTGCGTTTTTTATAACTTGGAGGTTAAGCTGCTGTGATCGACGTGAATGTTATTCTGACTGTTGTGAAGAACTCAATGTTGACACATTAGTCAATTATTCTCCCATTTTTGTGAATGTGCTGCAGTTGAACCTGGAGAGAAAATGGCAGATGAACGTCTCCTGTGTGGTGGAGTGTCCCGTCAACTGTCAGCTGTCAGAGTGGTCATCCTGGTCCGAGTGTTTACAGACCTGCGGGCTGGAGGGTGAGAAAATGACATTTCTATTGTTGATCACATTCCTTTTTCTTTTCTCTAGGAAATAAAAAAACATTTTTGATGGCACAGTCTAGGTTTATTTTAGATTTTTATCAACTGTTTTTTGTGAACTCTTTTTAAAAGATCTTTTACTACTCATGGATTAAATCAAGGTTATCCTCCCACTTGGGGAATTTAGGAATTATTTATGATTTAGTCCAACAATTTTATATTCCTTTTAGTTATTTTGGATAATGTTTGTTTGTTTTTGGTTTATCTTTATCCTTGGGTAATAGGGCCTAGACATTTCTTTAACACATTTTTGTTATTTCTGCGATATATTTTGCAACTTTTAAAAAGTTTTTAAAAGAGGGGGGGGTGGCTTGGTGGTTAAGGAAAAGGATTTGGGTTCCGAAGGTTTCAGGTTTTCTCTAGGAAATAAAAAAACATTTTTGGCTTGGTGGCTTGGTGGTTAAGGAAGAGGATTTGGGTTCCGAAGGTTTCAGGTTCAAGTCCACCAGCTGCAAAGTTAGTTAGTGAGCATGGCACCGTCCCCGCACGTTGTTCCCCGGATGCTTAAGCCGCCCCCCCCGTTCATTTTGGTGATGGGTAAAATGCAGAGGTCACATTGTGTCACGGTGTGTGCAGTGGTGTGCTGTGTCACAATGACAAAGTAGTTCACTTCCAACAAAAGGAAAAACCAAATACCGATATCCAGGTGACCTCCCTTGACCTACCATCATCACCTTCTTCAAGATGAAGCTTTGGTCTACATTTGTCTTTCTTTCCCCCAAGAAATATTTTGTTCTGTTTTTCTGTGAAAGCAAATACATAAACATGAGTAGATACAGCAGGAGTGCATTGCTGCACAATCCAGTTGCGCATGTATGAATATAAAACAGTAAGAACCTGGATGAGCCTTTGTGAAGCCTTAAAATACATTTGCACAGACTGGTTTGTCCCAGATCTTTGAAGTATAAAAGGTTTTTTTTTACATCTACAGTTTTGTATCTGTCTCTTCAAACCAAAGAACCGCCGAATTGTGGTCCTTTTCTCTTTGGAAGGATGATGCATTTATTTAAGATAAAGACGTTACAGTGTTTCTCAGTGATCGGTGAAATGCATCTCTCTTTTTTTTCTGGTTGTTGTTTTTTGGACGGTAGCATCAGTACATCCTGGTCCTCCTCAGGGCAGAACTTTGAAGGAGAAGCATCACAGCGCATTTGGCAAATCACAAGGAATAAGATGAAAGTTTAAGAAGGGCTGAAGGAAGAAGAAGGATCTTATTTGATGTTGATGTTTTTTTTTTTTGTCAATGTGTAGGTTGTGCTTTGGTGGAAACACAGGCTAAGATTATAAAAGTTCCAGTGTGGGAAGCGTGGTTTATGTCCTAAATGTTTACAGACATCTTTAATTTGTTCAGGCCTCATTTTTGAGTTGTTGCTTTTCTTCTAACTAATTTTACATTCAAAGTCATTATTCTCTACACAGGCACAGAAATGTTCCATGATTCAGTCATTACAAAGAAATAAAGTTACAAACACATTTACTGACTATATTAAAGTTAGCCCAAAAACAACTCAGTTTGAAGGCTAATAACGGGGAGGTTTAATAAGTAGATAAGCAAAACAGTTACAAAAAATAGCTAAAGGTGGAATCATATCGCATATCTGTCATTAAAACAATGCTAACAAGAGAATAAAAGCGAGAAAATAAAATTATTTTATTGAAGGTACAATTTAACAAAAGAGTTCTTTGAAAACATTTGAATACAAAGAGCTTGCATATTTAAATGTGTGTATGTTTAATATACTGTACGTCTGTTGTTTTTATTTAGTTTTTCTCTGCTAAATTGATTCACCAGTCAGTGACAGCGTGTTGATTTTCACTGTATTTCAAAGAGACTCAGATGATGGATGTGAATGAAAACGCCATTTCAGTCAAGTGTGGCGATCAGGACCAAGCCGCGTTAAGTGTTGTATTTCAGACTGTTTAGTATAAAAGCTCTGTTCCCTGCACTCAAGTGCTGTGTGCTGAGGAAAATTAATTTAGAGTGTTGAAAGCAACCATGCATCTTTGGAAATGAGTTGTTTACAGGGGGAAAGCGCTGGGTGGTTAAACCACAGCGGTCACTGCATGTGTCTGATGTGTTTGAATTTGTTTCATTCTGAGGGGAAAAAACATCCATTTTACACCCCAGATAATTATAACCTAATGAACAAATACAAATGTCTCAGCACAGAAACAAAGTTTGATCATTTGTATTCTCTCCTGCTGGTGAGACGCGGGAGCCCTGGTTTCACTCTGAGTCCGCTGTAAATCCACAACCTCGAACGAAAACAGGAAATAAAAAAGCCGTGTGCATTTGTGCTTCCTTTTAAGGTAAGATGTGGCGTCGTCGCTCGGTGGTCCAGGCCTCTCAGGGTGATGGCCGACCCTGTCCCTCTCAGATGCAGCAGTGGAAGCCCTGCCCGGTCCGGCCGTGCTACCGTTGGCAGTACAGCCTCTGGTCTGAGTGTCGGGTGGAGGTGAGTCAATAAGCCATCACAGTAGACCTTACTGAAGAGCTGTTAAATATTAACTACAGCATCGACTGCGTGTCAGCCAGAAGAAATGCGGCCTGGACACGTCCAAGTCTGCGCTGAGCTTAAATCAATGCTCTGAAGAGTCGGAGCCAAAACATGGATTTTGGATGACTAAAATCGCTGCATCAGGCTCAAAATAATGGAGTGCTTAGTATTGATGAACAACCTTGTTGGCTGTGAGAGATGGGCCGTAAAAGTCTACATGATGCACTTTACAGCTTACACATTACTGCCAGCTTCGTGTCTTTTCGTACTCCTTTAGCTGCTGTTTTCTATTGTGTGTTGTGTGTAAGGAAACAATTGTGAGAATGTGCTTGACAGGAACCTGATGTCAGTGGTAGAATGGTTTTTGAAAGGTAACTTTTCTGGTCTCCTTACTGCCCTCTGGTCAGAGTGTGGTGTGTGGACACGGCCTGCGTTACAGAAACCTGTCCTGCTTTGTGTCAGACGGCTCTGATGAAGACAGGCTCAGCCTAGTGGATGAGGAGCTGTGCAGCAGCCTGGAGCTCGCCGTGGACGGTGACAAGAAGATCACACTCAAGGAGGCCTGCACTCTTCCCTGCCCAGGTGAGAATTATTGAAAAATATATTCTAGTCCAAATGCTGAACGGACTCCAAACTATTGTGATCTGTGTTGACTCCAGATCACTGTACAAAGGTTTGGGTCAAGCTATTCTTATAATATTTTAATGTCAACTTCTGGGCAATATTAGGAATAAATATATGCCTGCTAATGTATTAATTTGTTAATCCACATTTAGACTAGTCTACTTTGAAATTTCATTATCTGCTGCACAATAGTCAAAAACTCAAAAGGCTCAATGCAACTTTATCATTTCCGACACTGAAACTGCAACTTCAATCAATCTGATACTTTCTTTTCTCCGTTAATGTTTATGGCATGTCATTGCAATATTTGAGTTTAGGTATCGCATCAAATCAGATTTGTTTTTCAATGTTTGATCCTTTGACCTTAGAATATTGAGTCTACAGACTATAAGTCTCTCTGGAGTATAAGTTGTGAGTCTACGAACTATAAGTCTCTCTGGAGTATAAGTTGCACCAGCCAAAAAATAAAAAAAGTGCGGCTTACAAGAGTAGCAGATACTGGTACACAAGCCTAGAGTGTCAGTGGTATACAGTGGTAAACATGTAAAATGATATATTTTGATATAAGTCGTAAACCCAGCCAAAGGATGGAAAAAAGTGTGACTTATAGTTTGGAAAATATGGCTTTTTTTTTTTTTTTTTGCGCCATTTAGGTAAAACCTACAAAATAAGTCCTGACTTCTGTGTCTGACTTCATTAGCCCTGGAGGACTTTTGGAGTCTGGATTTGGAGTCAGATTTGAAAAAAGAAATGTGACTAAAGGCAGCAGATGAAATATCTTTCCTTTGTTCAAAAAATCTTTACATCATTTTCAGATATTTGCCAAGGTGCTGCATGTTTGTTGATGGCCTGTGTGTCTCAGGTTTACTAAAAGGCAAACACTTGCCTGCCACACAACAAACAAAGGCAGCAACAAACGTTTTGCTTTTTTTGGTCTAGATAGATATCCTGTTGTTCATCTTAGCTCCAGATCTCTTTGAATTCAACAAAGAAGTAAAGAGAGAGGAAAAAAACAAAAAACAAACTTCCCAGATTACTGATTGTAGCAGAGCAGCTTTGGTGGGACCACAGGGCTAAACAGTCAGACCCATCTGTATTTCCATCTATATCAGGAAGCAGCCACTAAAAGGCTTATGCTATATTATCTCTCACAATACTCTCTGTGTCCGTTCATATCCTCTGAAAGTGTAGAAGCTCACCTGAAGGCAGGATAAATGGACTGCATTAAGGCAGGAGCTCTGAGAAGCTGCTCTGCTTCATGTAAATTAAATTTACTAAGAGCCTGTTTTTTTTTATTATAGAACAACAGAGAATGAACTGTCTTCAGCCGAAGTAGTGTGTGGTCTAAAGTGTATCACACACTCTAATTTGCAGAGAGTAGTGGATACAGGGTTTCCAATGGTGTCCATAGCAAAAAGTGTTTTTTAGTAAGGTTTGCAGAAGTAGACGGTAACAAAGGGTGACGACTGTTATATCTTTAAACTGTATATAAAATATACTGTATTTTTCCTCAAGAACCCATATAGCAGTAGTATGAAAAAGTTTGGGCACCCCTGATCATTTTCAAGATTTTCCTTTATGGCTCGTTGGTTGTTCAGAACAGCAATTTCAATTAAATATATCATATAGCAAACAAATGCTGTGATATTTAAGAAGTGAAATGAAGTTTATAGGATTTACAGAAAGTGTGCAATAATTACTTAAACAAAAGTAGGCAGGTGCATAAATTTGGGCACCCCAACAGTAAAATGACATTAGTATTTAGTAGATCCTCCTTTTGCAGAAATAACAGCTTCTAAACGCTTCCTATAGCTTCCAATGAGGGTCTGGATTCTGGTTGAAGGTATTTTTGACCATTCTTCTTTACAAAACATCTCCAGTTCAGTCAGGTTTGATGCTTTCCGAGCATGGACAGCCCGCTTTAAAACAGACCACAGATTTTCAATGATATTCTGGTCTGGGGACTGAGATGGCCATTCCAGAACATTGTACTTGTTCCTCTGCATGAATGGTTTGGTAGAATTTGAGCAGTGTTTAGGATCGTTGTCTTTTATTATTTATTATTGCACACTTCCTATAAACTTCCTATAAACTTTTTCAATTTCACTTCTTAAATATCACTGTGT